AGTTCCTTTGTTCTGCTAATGGGTGTTTGCTATTGCAGCCCTTGTGCTCATTAACCTTTGTCAGTGACTCAGCTTGTAGCTCCTTCCGCTAACTCATGCAGTTTTAAGATCTGGAGGGAGCTGCTGTCGATCTTAAGAATATGAATCCCGCTTACTGAAAGATAAAATTCCTCCCCTTACAGATTAACTCTTGCTAACCCTGTCATGTTCAGGGGAACATCAGTTGAATTCATCAGGATAAAGTTCAACTTGTATTCCCTGCATTTCCAGTATTAATGGGTTTTGTAAGATATCTGTTTCTGAGAACCCCAACAGTGGGAAATTGAGGGAGTTATTTCTTTGATGAATGCATACTTGCAGAGTATAGACAGATATAGAACTTTCCCACAAGATAAGCTTGCAGTTGCAAAAAAAATAGTAAAAACTAGCAGCTCATTTTGACAATAAAAGAAGTAGTGATCAAATATGGCCCTAAATGCATTTACTCAGCTTTGCATGCTTCTTCCGTGGCCGACCGAAATAATTTTGTTGCCTGAAGCAAAGAACAAGATGGCCGTTTCCCACATTCTATAGGCTGTCATTTTATGTAGAATGCAGCAACCACACCCAACTGCACCACCTGGAAGAGTAATGAACTGTGTCAGTGCCGTACATGCTGAAGCGTATGGTCTCAGGTGTCTGGCTGCCGGCATACTCAGTCTACCACCTTTATGACTAATATTGTGATTCATTGGAAGAAAGAGATCAGGCGAAGTTAGATGGTTCTGGTCCACCTGCTTTGTTGGATAGGGACAAATGGAGTCTGCTCAGTATTTTCCTTTTAGAGTGGCTGTTCTGCTCTGGACTCTAACCAAATTATTATCCAGTTTTACTCCGAGCAGCCTAATGTTCCCTGAATAAACTGAAATACATCCCTATGTGATATGACAGCCTGTTTTAAAGTAAAAGTTGGAAATATAAGCATTAATTCATGTTTGTTTGTCAGTTCATTGCTTTTCATGGGATATGAAGTGAGAAAAATTTACTACAGTTTTGTCACAGATGTCTATGGAAATTCTCAGTCATCCAGGTCATAGTTGTCCCAAAAGGTGCTTTTTTTCAAAAAGTAATTGGACTTTGTTTTTCCTCAAAGACATTTCGCTTCTCATCCAAGAAGCTTCTTCAGTTCAGTTTTGTCAAAAATGTTCCCATCCAGATATCATGGATTACAAGTCCCGTTAACTGATGATGACTGGAATTCTTGCTAGCTTGTTTTATTAAGAGGGCACCAACGAGTTATCCCATAGTTTGCATAACACTTGCATGATGCAGCTTTCAAGCTGTGCTTACATATTATAAAAGTTTTTGTCATTTTTTTCTTGAACCTGAAATATTATTTTTTATTTCTGATGAAGTATTCCACTATGATTCCCTAATAGGGAGTGGTTGAATAGACATATTCTTTCCTTACTTGCTTCTCAAAACTTTTTTTAAAAAAAGACTTTTTTGTAACTGGTTAGGTGAGCAGGCACACATTTTGCAACAGGATTTTCCTAGAGATCAGACCATTGGTATGGACAGAGTATAGAAAGGTGCAGCTGAAAATATTAATGATTATACAGATGGATCATCTTTAAATTGCCTTCTAAACTATTACAAAAAGGACTAAATAACACAAGATCCCCATAAGGAAAGAAGCCAACAACTCTGTAATTGAAAACATTTTGTTTCCAACACATTGTCTCACTCAATCTCAAAATGCAGGCATCAGTGAGGTATTGAAATTTCTCTATCACCCCATTTTATGCCTTTTTGAGGGTATGCTTAGCTGAGGGTGTGGATAAAGCATAAAATGGCTACATGTTGAAACACATAAAGCGTGGGGCGGTTCTGTTTTAGAATTCACAGCCCCTTCACAGCCCTTACAGCCCCAGGAAATCCCCTTACAGTTATCAGAAAAGGTGGGATAGAGAAACATGGATAAAATATAGAGGAGGAGGAGGAGGAGGAGGAGGAGGAGGAGGAGGAGATCTTTTCTATTATCTAAATCTCAACTTTTATTTCTCTGCTGATGTTTCTGCATCTTTTTTTTCCTCATAGTTTTGCTGACATGAAGTAGAGAGGATGCAGTCAAATGGAAAATAACATCAGAAGTTGAAAATGCATGGAACTGATTTTCATTCAAGAACATGACAAAGACAAAAAGTGTAAAATCTCTTCTTTCCATGCAGCATTCTCAATATAGCTTGCCACTCTTCCCAGAACATCTGGCCAAATTTTCTTTTTATTGTCTCTCGTAGCTTTACTCTTAAACTCATGAGAATCCTTACTTTGTTCATTCTTCTTCCAATCTATAATACAGGATTGATTTCACATTGTTGCATATATAATTTCTGTTTAAATTCAAGAGTACCGGCTCTTGGAAACATAGCAGAATTCTATATCTGCGATTTTTCTTTACATTTGATACTTATTCCCCAAAGAAGGATAGATGGCCTGTTTTGTTCTACACTTTGGACAATAGTTACTAACCACACTTGTTTTTGTGAGAGTTAATAAATTCATGATTTATGAAATAAGTAACTCACAATTGGCCCTCTTTTATTGTTTACAATAGGGAAAGCAATTGGAAGCCCAGTGTTTATTGATATCATTGTGTAAGGAGGAAGGAAGCTTAAATCTTCCTTTCTCTTGTTAAGGCCATCTCTATGAAAGACCTGCTTTATGAAATCCCCACTGACACTGACACTGAGCGGGTTTAGAAAGAAAGAAAAACCCTCCTAATGATGTCAGTACATTTCTTTTTTAAAAAAATGAGCTTCACTCTCTTCATGATGTGATTTCAGTCAGGATTGACTTCCTCATGCTTAATCAAGAACAACAAAAAGAGCAGTTGCCCTTTTTATATTTGTTTTGTGTTATTTAGAGGAAAACAAGAAGAGGTGGTGAATCTATCTTACTTGTCTTCATCCTTATACACAGATATTTACTGAGCTTTAATAGATTGTTTACATTTTCTTTAATTGTACACTGAAATGTTACATCTTTTATCTTGAGGATTCAAATAACTTCTGGATAAAGAACCTATCTTGAATGGACTTACCTTCTCAAAGGTGTATCTACCTTTTTCAGTTCTGCAATTTTAAATCTTTCACTAGAAATTAGGACATAAGTAAATGCTAACATTGCATTATCTCCATTTCCTGGTTCAGTAATGAAATATGCACAATCAAAAAAGGAGTCAGATCTATTTGTTTTCTATAATCCGCAGACAAGCGAACCAAGCCTACATAAAAACCATTGTTATTTACTTATGTGTGTCCAAAGAAGCAGTCATGTGCACATGACTTGCTGTGACTATTCTTCAAATATATTTAATCATCTGGAGGGAACGTAATAGTAAACTCAGATCTCTGGGGGGAAAATGTAGGATAGTCATATTTGGGGTGTGTGTGTGTGTGTGTGTGTGTGTGTGTGTGTGTATAATTATATCACACTGCTATTGTGTTCTGTAATCTGATGAAGCTGAAAAAAGTTGACTCAACAGACACAGAAACTAAATGATGGGCACTTCCACAATGCCAAAGCTTCTATCTTCTGTCCCTCAAAAACAGCTTCAAAACAACCCCTGATTGCCTTTATTATCTCCAATTCATTCCAATAAGGAATGAAATGTCATGCCTCAGTCTTGTAACAATAAAAATCCTTTTGCCTGCCCCCTCCATTCTGCATTAGCAATATTTAATAGGACGGGACTGCAGAAGGCCATTAAATGAGGTCACCAGAAGGAAGGAGTGTGGCTGAAAAGGGTTTTTTTTGGGTGGGAGATGAGGCTAAGGGTCAGAATGAAAGAAAGAAGCCTCCCAAAGGCAAACTGTCCACATTCCTACTATTAAAACTATCCCAGCTTCCAGTGGTGGGATCTTCCCGGCTTAACAACCAGTTCAGCGATTGTACACTGTGCACACATGCACAGTTTGAACAAATCTTCACTTCTGGGTTTCTTCGGAGGAGTAGCACAGCTGATTCATGTGGCAATCAGCTCTACTGTGCAAATCAGCTGAGGAGATAAAGATAGGAAAATAGCACAGGTGGGTGGGCCCATCTGATCGTTGGAGCTACCAGTTTTCTCCCAGCTGATCATCGGAGTTACCAGTTTGCCTGAACTGGTCCAAACCAGTAGAATCCCACCACTGCCAGATTCCCAAATTAGGCTGAAATCATACTACTAACATTAGGCTATTTTGAAGCTATTTTTTCTCTATTGTTCTGAATTTCAGCAGCATGAGTTCAGAGTGCTAAGAGATGGGATGCTGGATTTATGGAGTGACTACTTTTGCACTAAAAGAAAGTAAAATAATTATTTCCAGCCCTTTGCATGACATCTATATTTCACATTAGGTTTATTACAAAATAAATAAAATAAAAATTTAAAAACCCAGTGGTTCCTACCTGAAAAGCCAGACAGTGGGGCAAGAGTTCTCAAATCGGAGAAGTCATGTCCGACCCATCGCGATCCCATGGGCAACATTCCTCCAGGCCTTCCTGTTCTCTACCATCCCCCGGAGTCCATTTAAGTTCAAAATGAGGATTATTACCGCAGTAATGTGACTGCCAATATATCATACCATTTAGAGCTGGATTTTGTACATAGTTCCTCATTTATTATATGAGTTTGATTGATCAGGATTTTAAGTAAAGATACTGTCTTCTCCCATATGTCAAACATCAGAATCCAGAAAGAGATAGGAAATAGAATTTGTTAAAAAATAGTTTAAGTAATTTTGAATCTGGGAATTAACTATGGAAGAGAAAGTTTAGAAAATGCTTTCCTTGAGTTACCTTAATGTCAAGTGGTTTGTGAAAAACCACATGGGTCTATACCAGTCTTCCCCAAATTGTACCTTCCAGATATATTGCAACATCACCTCCCAGAATTCCTGTGCACCAGGTTGAGAAAGGTGGATAAACATTGTTTATTACATGAAAAATATCACTTGGCTACCCATGGTAGGTGTCGATATATTTTTGTTCTTTTATGGATAAATAATTAGTCATCCAAAGAATAATATATTTGAAAGCATTGTTCTTGGGCTAAAATAACATATTTTATTCAATCTAGCCTTTCATGTCAGAAGAATACATAGTGTTTAAATGCTTCTAATTCACATGTTGGATCACAGTTTCCCCTATTCATAAACACAATGTGGATCCAAAGTTATTCTTCAGTTTTTAATGTCCAAGGAATAGTGGAAGAATTTGGGGACAAAAAAGTTCAGCCAATACTAACTCTGATTCAATATTTTCCATGACAGCTCTGCATGGTGTCGTCCCAGATGCATTGTCATTCAGAGATGTTTCACTGTTCTGCTTTCAAGTTCTTCTAAATCAATTCAGGAATAAAACCTTGGGAGATAGATTTGTTCCTTTTTCTTTTTTTCTTTTTTTTTTACCATTTAACTCAAAGGACAAGCTTCTGCTTTCTGGAACCCTGATTGATAATACTTTCAAATTTGGTGGTCAGCTGTCAGAATTTAACATCACTATTTTAATTTATGAACAGAAAAAAACAAAAACAAATAGGCGTGCTGAACCTTTGATAGGCTTGAAATTCCACCCCCCAAGTATAAACTGTAGGTTTGCCCTTTCTGATGATATGACAGCATCACCACCAATGTGTGTCATGATTTCCTATTAATAAAATCCCCATCAAGCTATTAATAGGGGGAACAACATTACTCTTGCTTAAATCATTACAGTAACTCTTGACTTAGTCACTTCCCAGTTGGATTTCTGCAAGGCACTCTACATGGGTCTGTCCTTGAAGAATATTTGGAAGTTGTGGTAGCAGAAGTTTCTCAATATGAACTGAACTGGCTTCCAGTTGGCATCCAGATGCAATTCAAGGTGCTGGTTATTACCTACAAAAACTGTAAACAGTACAGGATCAGGTTACTTACAGTAATAACCAATTGTTTCTGCTCATCAAAACTTACTGAGTTGGCATACTCTAAATCAGGGGTGGCTAACTCGATTTCATTGAGGGGCACATCAGGGTTGTGTTTGATTTTGGGGGAGAGGGGCCAGGGTGGCCGTGGTTAGATCAACATCACTCATGTCGGGGGTGCCTGTGGAGGCCCGAGCTCTCTGCCAGCGAAAACGGGCTCCTAAGCTCTGTTTTCTGCTGCGATGGCCTCCTGCATCCCTCCCCAAGAGAAAACAAAGCTCGGGAGAGCCGCAAGCTCCATTTTTGCTGGCAGAGGCACCACAGGTCGGTCCTTTTTTTTTTTTTTTTTAATTAGATTTATATGCCGCCCTTCTCTGGAGACTCAGGGTGGCTTACAATGCATTAAGCAATAGCCTTCATACTTTTGTATATTTTATACAAAGTCAGCTTATTGCCCCCACAACTGGGTCCTCAATTTACCTACCTTAGAAAGGATGGAAGGCTGAGTCAACCTTGAGCCTGGGGAGATTCGAACATGCAATAATTGCAGACAGCTGAATGTTAATAACAGGCTTTTAGTCTGTTGAGCTATCCAGGCTCCTTTTGCTGACCACCAGCCAAATTTAAACAGCCTGAGGGCCGGATCCGGCCTGTGGGCCTTGGGTTTGACACCCCTGCTCTAAATCTTTTCTATTAGGCAATATCATCTTGTGGGACCCAGCAATGATGCCTTCTCTGTCACAATCCCTACCCTGTGGAAGAAGAAACCTCTGGGAGATCCAGATGGTCTCACCCTGTTAGGAATTACTTTTAGTCCTCAGGCATGTCTCATACTGATTGTCTCTGGAAGTTTATTTTTGATTGATTGTGTTGTTTGGACCTCCCCCCCCCCCTTTAAATTCTCTATTCACCACCCGGAATCCCAGCTGTGAGGTGAATAGTTATATAAATAGTCTAGATAAGTAAATAAATATTTTGAGTGCATCTGTGTGATAAGGAGTTTTTGCAAAGCTGGAGAGAAACGTTGATTTGTTCTAATATTCGTGACAAATCTCTTTTAATCCCTGCTATTGTTTAGGAGAAGGGATCCTGCTTCTTCAGGGATAGTTCTAATATTATATTCTGGCATTTCCAATTGTTACATTTTAGCATCAGATATGCTAAATGGGATCCACTTTTATCCACCATCCATTCAATTTTTGCTTCATATTTACAGCTCCTGAATACCAGCTACAGCAATTGTTCCTGTAAGCAGAGAATTGATGACCACAGAAAACTTAGTTCTATCCTTTAAAGAATACCTTTCTATCCTGTAACAAATGAGAAAGCAGAAGAATTGGAAAGTGGGCTAAGTAATAACAGTGAGAAAGGGGGAGGTATGTGCATTTCCAGTTAAACCATATTGGCTTGACTAAATTACATAAGTACCCACAATATTTTGCAACATGCACATATCTCCAAACTGAAATTTTATTTTCCTGCTGTTTCTGATGCAACTGTTTTTTTTAAAAAAAAAACTACCCTTAACAAATGAAAAAAAAAAACCAGTTGGACATGCATTCAGCCTCTGTAACAAGTACTATAAACAGTATGTTTTTAGATGTTCAAAAATATACATTCAAACCACTAGTGACACTGGACACCTGAAAACCTTGAAAACAGAATTTGTAGTGAGACCTGAAGGCTCGTTCACACAGACCCAAAGATGTGCTTTCCTCCTTCAACGCTTGAGACAAGAGGAAAGTACTGTATGCTGCTTCCAGAATTGCTCCCCTTGCAATGTTCCTTTAAGTTCCTCAGAACAAGCTTGTTATGCCCTCACTATATATAGTCCTCAACTTAGGACCACAAATGACCCCAAAATTTCTATTGCTAATCAAGAAATTGTTAAGTGAGTTTTGCCCCATTTCACAATCTTTCTTGCCATAACTGTTAAATGGATCTCTGCAGTTGTTAAATTAATAACACGGTTGTTAAGTGAATCTTTCTTTCTTTCCTATTGACTTTGTCAGAAGATCAAAGGTGATCACATGACCCTGGGACATTGCAATGAACCAGTTGCCAAGCAACTGAATTTTGATCATCTGACCACGGGGATGCTGCAACGGTTGTAACTGTGAAAAATGATCATAAATCACATTTTTTCAGTGCCATTATAACTTTAAACTGTCACTAAATGAATGGATGTAAGTGTCATGCCCCCCCCCCTCGGAGTCTGAATCTGTGGGGGAAGATCAGCTGGAACAAGAACTGACAGAGATGGAGAGGCCGGTTCTGTTGGCCTTGGAGGAAAGTAGGGAAGGCAGAGTCAGTCCAGGCAAGGCTTTTCTGAATTAGTAAGGCCTCCAGACAAAGAAAGCTCAGGAGAAGAGCAAGGACTACCCCCTCCTGATTCAAGAGCAAGGAGGGAAGAGAGACGGTGAGATCAACGCAGATTGAGCCAGCTACGAGGGAAGAGAGTGGTTCCCCCTTTCACAAGGCACACCTGGGGACTGAGATGTAAGGAAGTGCCTGTGGGAGAGGCATTTGTCGGGAACAAGTGTTGAATCTGTGGAGCCTCGTGTGCACTTGCCAAAGCCTGGAGATTGCTCTACTCTGTCTTGTGGGGCTTGCCAGTTTGCATGCTCTGCTGAACTTCTTGCTCTGGTTACTGTTTGGGCTAACCTGGCTTATTGGACTGTTGGCCCTGGTTGCTGTTTGATTAACCTGGCTTACTGGACTACTTGGAGTCAGAGGCTTCTGAAGGTGAGTGTGAAAACTTTGCTCCAGGACTTGTAGGGAATGTGGGAACGTTTGGGGGCACAGTTGGAGCAATAAAGGGGAATTAGACCTGTTCTCTGGTTGTGTTGCCTTCGTGCCACGCCCTGGGTCATCACAGTAAGTCAAGGACTACCTGTACTAGTCTCATTCCTGAACTGTGGGTTTCTGTCAGCCCCTCCAAGATAGGCTAGGAAATTTATACATGCTAATATTATTTACATTATAAAGATACTATAACAGAATCTTTAATGTGTTTCCCCCTCCCTTCCTCTCTTTATATCTGTGAGAACTAGGGAGATCTTGTCTTAAGATGCTTACTTGGGTTACAGTTCTGCCCTAGACAGAACTAAATAAATTTCTATTATCTGACTTTTGCCTTGGTTTTGGCTCTTCCTCTTGCTCCTCGAGGTTATTCCTTCTCCCTTTATAGTTTCTGACAGGGTAGCCATTGAACCAGGAATGGTTGGTAGTGACTTTCCACTACTTCCTATTTTGGCAAAAAGAAAAAGGTATTAGATGAAGTAGTGAAGGATTCCCTCAATAGATGGCATGCTTCAGGGGTCTGCACAGGGGATGGAGATGGAACAGCAGTTTTACTATTACTCTACATTCATTTGTTCACCATTGTCGTGAACTGAAATGCACAATAATTCCCCACCTTCCTCCGTTTGCTGTCATCATTGGAACTAATCCTTTTTACTACCGGTTCTGTGGCCTTGGTTTGGTGAGCGTGGTGTGGCTTGGTGGGCGTGGCTTGGTGGGCGTGGCAGGGGAAGGATACTGCAAAATCTCCATTCCCATCCCACTCTGGGGCCAGCCAGAGGTGGTATTTGCCAGTTCTCCGAACTACTCAAAATTTCTGCTACTGCTTCTTCGAACTGCTCAAAATTTCTGCTACCGGTTCTCCAGAACCTGTCAGAACCTGCTGGATTTCACCCTTGCTCTGGAGGATAGCAATAGCAATAGCACTTAGACTTATATACTGCTTCTTAGTGCTTTTACAGCCCTCTCTAAGGGGTTTACAGAGTCAACATATTGCCCCCAACAATCTGGGTCCTCATTTTACTGACCTCGGAAGAATGGAAGGCTGAGTCAACCTTGAGCCGGTGAGATTTGAACTGCTGAACTGCAGCTAGCAGTCAGCTGAACTAGCCTGCAGTGCTGCACTCTAACCACTGCGTCACCTCGGCTTTTCCTCTTCCATACCACATAGAATGGGAATGGCAGTTTTAGTTCCTGCTGGATCCTTTTGAACCATTTTCAGCCTGCCTCAGCAGCAGGCTGGCCTTAAAATTGAGGCTTTGTTGAGAGGGCATGTCTTGAGCAAATGGTAAGTGAGCCATCTCAGAGTCAAAGCAGTTGGGTGTATGGATGAGCTGTAAGTCCAAGGGAAGCACTGGAAGGAGTTCAGTTATAAGAAAATTTACCTTGTCACAGATATTTATTACCCATCTCTAGAAGTAAAACAAGATTTATAATTATAACTTGCTCTTTAATTTAGCTGACAAAATATAGAGAGCAGATTCGTTGAAAGCCAGTTTCCTTGCTGAGATTTATCTACACAGAGGTTCCATGTGGGAGGCACTGTGGAGATGGTATTTCTTCTAAATGCAATTACTGCTCAGTAATAGTATTTCTTCAGATTCAAAACCAAGAAAATGCTTAGAAGCATACTGGGGTGCAAATATAGTACTTTTCTGCAGCTCTTTAAGCCAGACACACATTTTTCTGGAATTGCATAGTAATCAGTTTAAACATATATATAAATTTCCTACTCACAAAAGAGCTCACACCAACCACAAGCAGGTTTTTTTATGACCAACTCTTTCTAAATTTAGTTGCATGAGTAATTTTACCTTCACCTTTCACTCAACTGGATACTGACTTACTCACACAGGTAAATATAGTACCAAAATTTTGCAGTAAACTTGCATATGGAAGTTGCATGAAAGTCTGAAGCACATAAAAAACTCAATAAAAAACAGAGGAAAAACAGGTAGTTCAGGAGAATTGGATGGAGCAGATTACATGTAACAGGATCTTGACCAACTTAATCCAGACGGCGTGTAATTCTGCCTAATTTTCACTCTACCCATACCCATGTAAACATTCAATTACATTTTTCCAGTTTCTCCTCCTAGTTCTCAACTGAGCTGCAGTCAACTTTTCCCTATGTAACAATTACTCTGTAAGAAAGTCACATTTTAACAGTGAAACACAGTCTATACCCATGATGGTGAACCTATGGCAAGTGTGCCACAGCTGGCATGCAGAGCTCTCTTGGTGGGCATGCGAGCCGTCACCCAGTTCAGCTCCACTGTGCATGCGCATGCGCACACACGCCTCCCGCCGGCCAGCTGATTTTCAGGATGTGCAGGGGGCGGGGCACATGCGATAGACACACACTCATGCACAGGAGGTTGGGTGCGCATGCATGGGAGTCACGCTGGGGCATCCCCCGTGGCCCATTTTTGGGGCCAGGAGGCTGCAGGGAGGCCTACTAGGCCCAAAACGGGAGGTGGGGGGTTGCTGGTTTGGGACAACCAGATACTAATTTACATCTGGTTCGCTGAACCGGTAGTTGCAAGAAATGGCTGGCCCCTCCCACCCCACCCCGCCCCGCCTAGGAGTCTCCACACAGCCTGTTTTGGATTCCAGGTAAATTCAGGACCTACGCGGAGGCTCTGGGAGGGCACAAAACAGGCCTCCCGGAAGTTCCGAAAATGAGAGTGCCTCCGGAGCCAGAGGGAGGCCATTTTTGCCCGCCCAGAGGCTCGAGGAAAGCCTCTGGAGTCTGGAGAGGGCAAAAATGCCCCCGGCCATGGTGCAGGAGGCCGAGTAGGCCACACCCACCATGGCCACACCCACCCAGCAACCGAGTAGAGAACCAGTTGCTAACATTTTTAATACGCAGGGGACGAGGAGCATGGGGGTCATGCGTGCATGTGCGGGGGCCGCATTGCATTATGGGTGCTGGCATGTGCGCGCGCGCTTTTGGCACATGAAGAGAAAAAGGTTAGCCATCACTGGCCTATACCATATACTAAAGTAATGAGATCACTGTCCCACTAGTAATGTATGGAGAACCTCCAGAGAACCTCTTTAACATTCAATGTTCTATGAAATGGCTCAAAAATCTGCTGGCATACAAGGTCGTTCTTGACTTACAACCATAACCGAGTCCGAAATTTTGATCATAAGTCATTACAGTCCTCACCTTATCCCTAGTAACAAACAGTGTTGTCAAAGTCCTCTTCAGTAAGAGATGTTCTCTAATACACAAGTGCTATTTTAGTAGCACTCCAGTTAGTTATATTATAGTGTATATCTATCTAACTGCAGATAGGTTAGCTAAGAAAACAAATCATGAAATGCATTCAGTCCTTATAACAAGAATGGGCAAACCTTAGGGCGTATTTAGCCCTCTGCAAGATAGGCTGTCATAAATAGATAGACAGACAGACAGACAGACAGACAGACAGAATATTTTGGCACACTTCTTGCAACAGAAGATATAAGGATATTGTGTATATCATGATGAAAATCATGCAATTTGTATTAGCCACATCATGAAGTCATGTGTACGATATAGCAATAGCAACAGCAATAGCACTTAGATTTATATACTGCTTCACAGTGCTTTACATCCCGCTCTAAGTGGTTTACTGAGTCAGCAGCCTATTTCCTCCAACAATCTGGGTCCTCATTTTATCGACCTCAGAAGGATGGAAGGCTGAGTCAACCTTGAGCCTGGTGAGATTCGAACTGCCGAACTGCTGAAAAATTAATCCTATGACATCGTGACATACGATTTCACTTTGATTCCCCCCCGCCCCAGTGCCTCACATAAAAGTTTTAAGAAACAGAATAGCAAACAGTTAGACATACACACCTATTGCTTCCATTGCCCAACAGGTTTCTTTCTCTTAAATCTGAAGGTAAAATTTTACAAGCTGTCTGTGTGCATGTATGGATAAAAGAAACCCACGTAGACCAAGTGAAGCATATAAAACAATGAAAACAATGTAATTTAAAAGTCTGATCCCATCCTACATCAATATTTGTATCTGTATCTATAGTTCTATATTCATTTTTCAATGTTTCTTTCCTAACCCTAAACTTTTTCAATGGTATGACACATCGTTCAGTGGTTAGCTACCAAATTTCCATATCACATGAAGATGGGGCTCTAAGAATAGCCTGTAGTTTCTCACACCAATCAATACTCTGTGCAAAAACTGGAGGTTCCAAGCAACTAATTGTGTAGCTCTGTCCAGGTTGCAACCCAAACCAGATAGACATACCGTTTGGGGAAATATTGTAAGCAAGTCTAGCGGAGCTCAGATTGGATTTGGGAGAATAAAACATCCAATCTGAGAAATTATTTCACTCCCCCACCCCCTGGTTAACAGAAGTCACCAACTCCAAATACATTAAGAGACTGAATGATATGCATATTTTGACCTATTAGAATAATTAATTCATTACTGGCTCTCTTTTAACTTGCTGAACTGATTTGATTGCTCTGTCCTGGAAGTAAAAATATTACAGTTTGCCAAAACAGTTTTCAAATATTTATTGGACCAAACCAGGACTGAAGAGGATCAACTTTACCTACAATTGAGCATAAACTGCAAGTTTCATAAACCACAACTGATTCCCAGAATACAGTCATGTACCCACCCAGTTGATCAATGCCTTTCTCTCACACACACACACAGAAAGCTTGTGTGCTCCACTTCAATGGATGTGCTTCAGTGAAGATTAGACAGCCATCTGGCTGGGATGTTTTAATTTGGATTTCCGCATTGAGTGGGTGGTTGCACTCACTGGCCTAAATGGCCCCTTTCAACTCTATGATGTTATGGTTTGCACAGCCTATGGCACCTAAATATTTTTGGCCATCCCCTCTCCAGCTGCTGTTTATATAATTTAAAATAAATACGTGATTTTAAAAGTGGATATGATGAAGATAAGCTTCAAGAGGCAAGCAACTGAAAAGATAATGGAAAGAATTTAACAGAAATAGAACACATTCAATTTTCTGAATTGCCTCAGCCATTCTCCCTTTTGTTCTGACTCTTAGCTCTTGATTTCCCAAAAGGTTGTACACCAACAATGCAAAAACTCGATTCGATTTTGCTGGATGTACTACTAAACATCACTCTCAACCTTGACAATTTTATGTGTGGCAATTTTCACACAAAGCCGTCTGGGGAATGCTGGGACTTGATGTCCATACATTTTAAAAACGCTAATGTTGAGAAACACTGCTCTAGGAACTCTTCTATAGCATGTAGGTCCGAAATCTGGCCAGGTCTCCACAAACTCTTTGCTATCTGAGGTTTGGCTTCCTAATGCAGTTTCTAATCCAAATCATGCAGGCTTTAATCCCAGCTGAGACATACAGAAATGGCAACCTCTTTTCCAGTTCTTGACAGGCTGTTGGCAGTGGCCCACTTTATATTGTTGCTTCTTTTCAAAAAT